GCATGCATCTATTCCACACCTACCCTCAAAATACACAAGTTACTGTACTGCTGCGAGGTGACCCACAGCCATGCCAACTTGCTGCCATCGAACCATCAGCGCACCACCCTCCTCAAATGATTTTCCGCAGGCTTCAGACTTCAGACCACAAGGCGCTTGACACATCTGCTGACATCTTACAAAAAGAACGCATTGTGATTTTAATTTGCTCTCGCAGGCTCTTCAGCTTCAAGCGTGGGCTGAGGCTGTGCTGGAAGAAGTGGGAGATTTGACAGGTCCTGCAGCATCACGCAGCACTCCAACCGTGCACAAGGAACCAGTGCTGCTGGACGTCTGACAGTGCCCGGAGCTCCCAAAAGTCAGGTCCCAAAGGCAGTCCTGTGGAGCGCGGGCGTTAAATCCGAGTCGAGCGGCCCGGGCCTTGCAAGGACCACAAGGGCTCTTCTCCAGGATTTGCTCACCACCGCTCACTCTGTTGGAGCGTCGCCGCCAATGCACCTTACGCTTTACCTCGCTCCCCGAGCTACAGTAGCAGCTACAGCGCACCCAACGTTGTTCTCTTGCCCTGAAACCTTCCAATGGTTGACAGAAATGGTCTTTTTTGTGCCCAGGCGAGGGCTCCGGATTACACACAGCCAGACTGCCTTGCCGTCAACTGTCATTGCAATGGCTGTGCGAAGCAGGAACTGCGCCACATCAGTCGGACCTGCAGGCAATGCTCAACATTAACAAAGCCCGCAGCAACTCTTCGCAAAAGAGACCAACCGGGACAGTATGGGCGTTGTAGCTCAAGCATTGGCCCGGGTATTCGACATTGCTTCTGCAAGCCACTAGTGCTCTCTCCTGCACTGCTGCTGCTGCAGGGCTCATGTGAACATTCACTATCGAGCATAAGACTTTAACCCCTTTGCACGTCTTAGGCAGAGAGGCTCTCCACGGAACAACTAATAACATGACACCCAGAAAGGAAAAAACGAGGCCGCAAAGTCACCAGTGTAACATGAGCCCGGTGGAAGTCCTCTAGGCTGCGTCGGCCGATAGACTAAGAACGCGTCTACCGCTCAAGTATCCGGGCCCTCCCAAATCCCAAAATGAGATCCTGCAGCCCTAACCCTAAAAATCTTCTCAAAACATGCGGAGAACCTCCTTGGAAAATTACGGAGGCGAAACCACCGCGAGGCCCAGCGTCCTCCCGGGCCAGGAGTGGCTCCTGCAGAAGTTTTGCGGGGCATCACGAGGAGTAAAAATCAGAATCGCAGCAAAGAGTGTGATATTGCTCGAACATCTGACCAGACAGGATGACATGCGTATGTCTGTGTGTATGTATATACATATATATANNNATATATATATATACGTGTGTGTGTACATAATTTTACATACATATATACATATACATCAACATATAATACATATGCGAACGTGTATATGCATGCGTGTGTGGTTGTGTATGCGTGGCAGTGCGGATTGCGAAACACCCCAATGGAGCGAGCAGTATTTGTTACATAGTGTTCGTGACGCTGCTTGAGCACCCCAGAACATTCAAGGCTCTACTGGGCCAAATCCATCCGAAAGGGACCCAAGGAGACCAAAACTTGAGAGGTTTCCCATTCTAGAAGCTCCGAATCCTCCGTTCTTCAACATTCCAGAGGGCGGCCTGGGCCTTGAAATTCTCGAACAGGCGCATCAGCTCGGGACCCTTCAGGTCAGGCGGCAACCCTGCCAGGACCTTGCAGTCGGGCCGGCGGATGTCTGGAATTTATTCCGAAAGAAAACTGCCTCTCATAGAGCCCGAGCCCGATTTTGGCAATTACGCGAAAATGACAACAGACACTGAAGACACCATTGTGGTCTCACGCCGCATCCTGGCCACAATTCGGTCTTGCATGGCGTGGCCCCCCAGGTTGCAGACAGAGTCGCCACTCCTGGCTCGGGGCTTCAACCAAAGCTGTAGAGCACTTGAGCAAGTTGAAGCTTCGTAGAGCATGACCGTACTTTCCATGCATGCCGAACAGCACTTCCCATACATTCACATCGATCAGCCACAAAAGTCGTTGAAAGCCCCCTCTGCTTTGAGAAGAAAGCACTGGGATCAAGCATACGGCGGGTGCCACATCCCTCTGCCAGGCACCTGGGGAATTCCACGTGAAAGTTGCCGAAAAGTATGGGACCCGTGCGCGAGGTCGACCTTCAACGAAAGTCCATCATCTGAGACATTCTTGGGTCAGCGTGACAAGAGCGGGATCGCCAAATGGTTCCATGTGATGCAAAAGCCGGGGCAGAATGCATCGCGACTGCAACATGAAAACTGACGTGTCCCCGCCTAAGCTCAGAGATCCTCGCGTCCAAAACATGCGGTGACTCGTTCACCACACTGCCTCAATACAGGGTTTCGGTTGCCCCCGCATAGCTTGAGGCAGATGATTTGGGCAACATCGATAGGAGTAAGGAAGTACGGCAAAGGCTTGGCACTGGCGAAAAAGAGGAGTGCTGCTTTGCATGCGGCAAACAGCGCCCTGCAAATTCAGATCCCTTACATTGAAGTCCCTCAACATCCATTCACGCACAACATTCGAAAACGTCTTGGCAATTTCCGGTAGCTTGATGAGATCCGTCAGTGTTTGCTTTCGCACTCACGGGACCCTGCTACAAGGCCCGCAACGCGGACTCAAAAAAAAACGAACCGGAGACTGGAAGCGCCCGACGTTCCTAACAAAGCCTGTACAGCCTGTTCATTCAGAAGCCTTAGCTAGCATGCCTTAGCCATTGGCGAGCTGCAGGAGAACAGGACCTCATCACCCACTGCCAACATCAGCTGTCCACAGTCTGCTTGGCCAAAGCGAACCTCTTTTCCTTTGGCGTCAAGAACAACTTGTTTTAACGGAGTTGTTGCAGAGGCCGGTGCTACCAAAGCACTGCGACTCGGTGAACCATAGTAGATGCACATAGCCGAACAATGCTACGCACATGTGTCAGATCAGCTGCAAGTGGAACCTGCATCAAAGCGGCCCACAAGGGACTGCACTTTCTCTGATCCCTCTGGATCTCCCTTGATGACCTTAGGGCTTCACTGTGGTAAGAGTAAGCCAGATTGACCGACGGAAATCCGTTTCGACAAGTGCCTATACAAGGTGCTCAAGCATGCGAGGCTGTTCTGGTCGTTCGATGCCCCCAAAACATCCAAAGTTCGGCCCGAAATGAGGCAGAGTAGAACTCTACCTAGTCGAGGCAAGTGGCCAGGACGCCGCTTTGATCCCCGTCACGCGGGAGCTGAGCAACGTCTCCGATCCTTGTGCATCTTGGGGCTCACCGCGGGGTTAGGTGGCCGACCGAGCAAGATCACTCGAGTTCTTGACACTAGTAGTCGCAAGGCGGGCGTAGAGGCATCTCTCAAACTCCAGAGCTCGGGCTTGTCTTCTTCCGCCGAGGGTCAAGGGCCGGACGCCCGCCACGTTCACGGCTTGTGGGACTCCCTCGCCTGAGCATTTGTGCTTAGAAACCACCTGCCTCGCCTGACCCACTGCTGGCCTAGTGGCCTCTCAATGGTGAGCTTGTCCTGGCTATTTATGAAATAAGGGACGAGCCAAGTTGCCATTCTGCGTCACCTGGAACTTCACAGGCTGCCCCTCCTGAGGGGCACAGCTTTGGGTCCCTACACATACAGGGTCTCTCTCCGCAGGGAAGCTTTCGATTCAACCGCTTTAGCCTTGGCATGTTTTTGCTGTCGGCTGCTCGATCTTCAAAGGCAACTGGTACCAATCCAATCAAGCTTGGCAGAATCCTTGGGCACACTCGTATCCGAGCCAGATGACGGGCCTGCCACCTTCAGTTTGCCGGAAAAAGCAGTGCAGGGCACTCCGCACACAACGGGTCCAAAGTTGGCGCCCATGGAGGCCAAGGAGCAGGATCCTTCGAAGCTGCTGCGGCTTCCTGCAGCGAGGGCACAGCCAGCACAAGGCACGGCAAATATGCACTCATTGCTCTACCGGTTGCTGGCCTCTTTTGTCAGATACACGTCTCGCCCCGAGAGCGCTGCGAAGTCATTGGAGGCGATGTAGCCAAAACCCTTCTGCTCGTCGTAAGACTTTATCACGCCTTGATTGGCATCTGCGGAAGGACATGCTTCAAACATCATCAAACGGTCGGCGCACACCCTCATTCAACGGTTTGACTTACGCCCGAGGTCGCCGTCAGGTCACAACACACAACACCACTCTGGACTGGACCACAACAAGCCAAACCATGGTTCGACTAGTGATCATCGTTCAGCGGAATGGGCTTGAGATTGAAAGCGAGATTCCATAAAAGTACACTTTCTCGGCGCCATCTCCAGCTGAAGTGCTCTTCCCAGTCACCTCCAGCACAGGCCGCAGTGGCTGGCCTATCTAAGAACAAGCCTCTGACTTGGCGGACGTGCCTGCGATGCCTCTGAAGACATAGATGGGCACCAGGCACCTCAAATCCGTTTTGCATGCCCAAACCTCGGGAGTGCAAACAAGCAGTCGGAGATTAGTCGACATAACCTTTGCTGGAAAGGTAGCACAGACTGACAGTTCATTCCATGATTAACATCAGCTAGAAGTTATGCTGAGGTCCCGAAAATGGCACATCCGTGCAAGAACGATCCGACATTCAGCCCGCCATACCAGTTTGCTGTGTTCTGGCATGGGATTTGCCATGGCATGCAACTTTTCAGCCCGTCCCCTGCAAGAACAACCCTGGGACAGTTCCGGCTTCCTGCCAAATCCCAGTGGCCCGCGCCCGGGGATGCCCCAAGCTGGCGCGGCGTCTGGCTCTACCGCTTGAGCCGATTAGCCACAGCATCAGGTCGCCTAAGAAAGGGTCAAGGCTGCAAGGTCAACCTATGACTGGCTGCAAGATGTTGAAGGATTCCGGCCCATGGGTTTAACAAGTGCCACGTTGGCATTTAGCCTGTCAGGACTTGGGGCACAAGGTCCCGTGACGAATGCATCTCAACATCACCCACAGTCCCTCGAGGCCTCGCGACCCATCAGATCCTGGCCTGCGAGCTCCTGCAAACAGCTTGGGCACTAAGATCGCATCATGTTGTTGCCCTGCTGGTGGTGGTCAGCACGAACTTCCAAGCATGCCCGCCTCCACTGCCTTACTGGCAAGCTCGGCGGTGGCAAACTGGACTTTGCCTCGCAAGGGCAAGCACATTTTCAACATGGGAAAATAATCCTGGCTCCGCCGGCTCAAGTCAATCACTGACATCGCCTTGCTGGCAAGCCGTCAACATAAACAGAAGCACTTTCGCGCCTGAACCTTTGGATTTCCCTGTTTCTTTGTTGGTGAACACGGCGGCATAGGTGACCTCGCAGGAAGCCCTGCTTTGGCGTAATGACAAGAACAGGTGCGATGGGAGTCAAGCACAGTCAGCTCGTCTCAGAGCGCAGGCTTCTGCGGTGCAGTCAGATGCAATTAGAAACAAGAACTGAGTGCGAAGAAATGCAGTCTGTTCAGAAGGGAGCTATGGTGTCGAAGAGCAACTGGTTAGTTAAGCATCCTACGCAAGTGGACGCAAGCAAAATCTTGCAATCCCAGAAATGCTGAGCTTGTGATCACCCTCATCAGTCTCGTCACCATCTGCAGCTTTCCTAATGTGATTACTGCCCTGGCTTGCGTTAGGAGTTAAAGTGTATCACTCCAAACTCCTGCTAGTGCTGCTCATGGGATCGTCACTAGTGCTGCTTCTTGTTTGTCTTCCTACTTCTCGACGACGATGGCGATGCCACGGACGTTGACGACGGTTACATCCATCATCGGCGTTGCTACTGCTCTTGCTGTCGTGCTGTGGCCGTCGTCACTGGTGCTGTTTTTTTTTCTGGTTTTACTGATATTCGTATGATGATTCCGCTCTTGTTACTGGTATCGTTTGTAGCAACCGCTGCTGTATTGAATTGCCAGGCATTCCCATCAAGCTACCAGCTACCATCACCGGTCTTCGTCGTTCTCCGATGATCCGGCCTCGCCGATCTGGCTCGCGAAGCCTTTGAGGGCTTCGGAGTCGACGTCCCAGCTCAGCCCTGGAAATAAGCGGCACAGGGCTGGCCAAGTTTGCAAAAAGAAAGCAGAAGGACAGACATACCTAGGCAAGCAATGGGCGACGGAGAGGTAAAAGAATGACCTACTAGCTCAAGTCATCATGACATTTTGCCGGGGTGGTGGCAGCAGCACTGGTGGATCATTATCGTGATCCTTGTCATCATGACCATGAACCTCATCATGTACATCATCCACATACTCTTCACCCTTAACAGTATCCCCTTCCTGCAATCGTCCGCAGCATCATCATAAATCATAGTCATCACGGTCGTCAATCTGCTTGCGCTGCTTACTAGTGTAATGCATCGTGCCTCAGATCAACATATGACAGGACAACTAGGACTAGGATCTGCAGAATTCGGTAGACAGTGTGCAAAATGACATGACATTGTCTGCCCAGCAGCAGTGCGCATTTCTCACCTGCTGCACGAACTACCCAGGCCTCCTCAAAACCAATCAACCAGAGGGCTTCGACAGCAAAGCGTCGGGGCACAGGTGAGACTCGGTATGTAGGGGCATTGTCTTGAAAAGCCCTGTTCTGCCCAAATGTCCCAACACCAACTCCTTCAAGTACCTTCGCCGGCATGCACGTGGTCTCCGCGTCTTGCATCATTCAAGCACGCACCGGCTGTTTCACGAAGAGCTACGTCCTTCATGCTGCACCGCGAACACGTGCCTCCCAGGAAAATTGTACGCCCGTCAGGGGCCGGAGGCTGTCGGGGTTCGCCTGTGCAAGTGCCCAGCTGTTCACAGCATAGCAGTGACTGAGACTCGACATCCCTCGAGTTCTCTCGACCCTCTTTTGATCATACAAGCAGCTCGCACTCCCGCAGCAGATGTTGCACAGCCAGGTGCAATCTTTATCTTTATACTTTCCTTTTCTATAGGCTGTGTAGCCAGCCTTTCAGCCAACCTCCCTGTTGCCGTCCTACTTCCCCCTTCGCGATGCACAACGTTTGGAAAACACCGAATACAGCTCACAACCCTCAGAAAGTCTCCATGGGATTTCGGTTTTGGAGAACAAGCTACAGTATGGACTCAGCTCTGCTTGGGTAACACTGCAATACACTGCAAACCGGCAGGCTGCCCTTGCAAAAGCTCAGATGGGGTTAGGACGGTTAGGGATCACCCAATGGTGCATCTCAGAAGTGCCTGTGGCTTGCATGGGGTGGTTGGCTGCCACGGTGAGATTGAGATGCTTGACTTGATCAGCCGGATCTGCGCTGTCATGCTTTGTCTCGCGGAGTCCAGATTCCGTGCCCTGCACTGAGATTTCGAAGCTGGGGCCGATGGTCTTCTTCTTCTTCGGCCCCCCTCTCCCCCATCTGTCCTTCCTCCCTCTCTCCCTCCCTCGCTGGTCTTCCGGATGTTTCGCAGGTAGATGCAGTTCCGCAATGGGCGCTGACGGGAATGCTTTGACATTTCGGGCGATTCGGCGCACCTGGCCGGCGGAGGGACAAACGGCCACCCTCCAGCTGCGCACCCTCCAGGTCCTGAATGACACGTAACGTGCAAAACTTCTTCCTGCACCCCTGGAGACTTCAGGATGCGTCGGGGACTTCTTGGCTACAGAGCTTTCTGCGGCGCACTTAGACTTAGAAGACTTACCACTTCGAGATGCCCAGTCGTCCTGAAAAGCTCGGTCCAGCAGATCCGAAGATGCAAACCTGAAGAACATGCAATGACAGAAGGCCTCCCACCGTGCCATGTGCGCTAGAACTTTTCTTCAGAAGCCGAGGGTGCAGCTCGATTTTCGCCGTGCATTTTGACTCGCCGGTGTCATGGTCCTGGAAGACGTTGCAGTACACGACCTGGATTTCAGTTATCAGGCTACACAACTGCCAGCAGCGAACTCAGACTCCTTGACCCCCAACATGCCTCAGAAAAAAAGTGAATGTGGGAATACAGTTCGCTCCGGTGCCTGCAGCCTTGTGCGGGTCGTGCCAGTATGCAGACGGGTCCAGGGCAGCGCGAACATCACCCTCCGGAGTGGCTAAGAGTATCTTACCCCAGCCTGAGAATGCCCGTGCAACCCGAAGAATTCTAAAGATAAAGCTGTTTAAACACAACTGGCCCCCAACAAGGTTTCTTCACTCTGGGTCAAAACCGACAAGGCGGATGGTTTCTGTCTCGGCATTGATTTGCTTGTGCAGCAGAAACAGGCGAAGGATCCCCTGAAAAGTCCCTGAATTTGAGAAACCAATATGACGAGAGCTCCCTAGCTGGGGTTGAGGCTGATCCGTCGCCAAGGCAGGCTTCGCAGAACTCACGCAGCAACTGCGGCAGCACAGGCTTTGGACACTCTGGACAAGGTGTGCAGGTGCGCTTAGGCTTAGTTAGATCATGCCAGGGATCCCATGCAGCAGCAGACCATACGACTGACGGCAGAGTGGCCATGGCCCCCAATCTGTAAGGAAGTCCAACATCGCAACAGCCCTACGCCCTACAGCTTACACCTGCACTGGGGCCAGAGAGAGCGAGCGAGAGAGAGAGANNAGAAAGAAAGACAGAAAGAAAGCGGGTGGAGCCTGTAACCACTCAGTCACCCAACTTCTTCACTTAACCCGCTTCGCCCCTGTGTGCGTACCTCAGTCTGCGTGGTCGGCGCGAGGCCCGACACGAAGAGCTGACGGCCACCTCGAATACCCCAAAACATGCAGATTGGTTTTTTTCGGATCTGAAAAACCGAGTCCTTCGCTATCCGGGGGGCTCAGCCCTGGAGGTGGGCGCATGGGACTGGACCTGAGATGCCGTGCATCGGACAGCTGAGGCAAAGGGCGAGGAGCCCAAAAAAGAGACGGAGACAGGCTCGCTTCATCGTATCGTCCACTTCAGGCAACTCCGAACTTGACAAAAACTCATCTCTTGAGCCGAGGATGCCTCTCTGGCGGTCGGGCCTCCATGATTTTCACCTTGGGTGTTTTCGAAAAGCTATTGCTCCATGGTCAGGGCCAAAGGCGTCGAGCCGAGGGGCGTGGACCTGCCGGCCATCGAGCTCCGAACCATTCAGCTCCTTCGACGAAGCAAAAGCTGATGCAACTCCGACTCCGCATAGAAGCGGCTGCCAGTCTGCGAAAAACCCACACGGCTCCACAAGCACGGCACAACCACCACAGCCTGCACTGCACGTTCTGCATCGCGCGCAGACTGGAATTCCACCTTCCCGGAACCTGGCGCTAGCTCGCAGGGAACATGGGCCGCCTCTCCATGCCTTCAAAACTCTTACCCCGCAGCCTGAGTTGACCAGTGTTTAAAAGCAAGAATGAACCGGGATCACAATTACATGCCCTGCTTCATCCCCCAATTTCATGGACCGCCTCGAGGCTTCCCTGTGTCTTTGGCGGTGAAAATGGATGCCTGCGGCGGAGTCGGGGATTGATTCACTTTGCTGTCTCAGCTGTTGTGCTGGTCGAGGAGGTGTGCTGCAAGGCCTTTCTAGATAGGTACCGAAAGAGGGGACTGAGGCGACTCCCCACTCCTGAAGCCTGCGGAAACAAAGCGCGAGAGCGAGAGGGAGAGAGAGATACAGTGACAGAGACCAAACTCACGAGAGATTGAGAATTGTAACAGGTGCTATCTGCGATCAAGCCTAGCTCGGAAACACACTTGCAGCAAGAAAGGTCATGCAGCTGCTCACGTAGCAATGCTCTAGGGGACAGTTGTGAAGTACACCTATGGGTGGGTGTGCTTGGGGCACGGGTGACTGCGTGCCTTTGGCATCAACCTTATCTTCTCTTTCTCCAGCACACTCTACGGCTCTCTACATCCTCGCTTTCCATGACATCCCGTCTAAATCGCAGAAAAAGAAGGGCATGGATTGCGAGGAGCATGGTTGGAAAACACCGAAGAGCGACAAAGATGACAAAGCAGATTAGAGCTCATCCGTCCGAGACCACTAGCCTCACAACAGCCTACAGCTTGCGTAGAAGAAGAGGCGTCCTCCCTCTCAACGAACACGGAACTCAGAACCCTTGGATCACAGCAATAGCTTTTTCGCCTGTCTTTCTCGCAAGGATGGCAACAATCCGTGTGTCTTCATCTATTCCTCCTGCTTGCTCTCTTCACTTCACTTCACTTCGGG